CGATTCTGGAGTGTTCCCTGAGCCATGTGGGGAGGGGCTTTGATATGGATGTCTCATTTAGGGCTGAGCACGCCACAGCTGCTCTTTGTCTGAACTCAAACCAGCTGTGGGTCTTTGTACTGCTCTCCATCTACTGCCAAAGGAAGCTACTCTGATCCACGTATATAGCGATATGTATTCAGAAGATAGGTTGACACTACATCCATTTAGCAAAATAGTAGTGGGTTCTCCCTAGGGTCTATGTCCTCCCCAGTCGTGGGTTCTTGGCCAGGTTTGCAGTACTAGGAATGGGTTCTTGCCTGTGGAGTGGGCCTTAAATCCAACCAGAAGGAGGTTGGTTACTCCCTTAGCATTAATACCACCATTTCACCAATGGGCATATCTTGCCAGGTTGGTTGTTATTGTGGCTCACAAAGTGGATAAAACTTTTGATGACTCTCTGGGCATGGGGGCGCATGCTTTTAGTCCCAGCACTCAGGACACAGAGGCAGGCAGATCTCTGTGAGTTCAAGGCCAGCCTGGTCTACATAGCAAGTTCCATGCCATCTGGGGCTACAGGGAAACCCTGTCTCAGAAAAACAAAAACAAAACAAAACAAACAAAAAAAACAGCTGACCCTCCTAAAACAAAGACCTCTACATAGACTGATTAGATTCACCAGATGGACAAGTAGTGGGGAACAGCTAGTGGTGCGACATCATAGCGGACAGTTGCAGGGATAACAGAGTATAAGGACGGCAGGGATATCAGAGTATAAGGGCTCGAGCAGGGGGAGGGCGGCTATGGGAGGGTGCTATCTGGGAAGTGGGTGTAAAAAAAAATAATAATAATAATAATTCTTCAAACCATAAAAATTTGCTGATTAATAATTAGTAAATGTGAAAAACATTTAAAAAAAAAAAAAAGCTTTTGATGACTTTTCTCCCTCTGCACCTTCTGGAACTACTAAGCTAGCCAGTAGGGAGAGACCTTCCAAATCAGTCCCAGCATGATCCTTGTTCTGTGACCTGAGTGTACAGTGCCTTAAGCAATAGGCATGGTTACAGTAGGTAACCAAGAGGAATAGCAATAGCCCGTTTTGTTCAGGGGTCTAGGGGACCCTTCACCCCACCCAGCAATTCAAAGACTGGTATTCCACACATGGTACTGGTTTTGTTTTTATTTTTTAAACTTTATCACAATTATTTGTATATGTGCATGTGCATGCATACACATAGGTAACATAGCATGTATGTGGAGGTCCAAAGACAACAGGCAGGAGTCAGTTCTGTCCTTTAATCACGTGGGTCCTGTGGATTGAAACCCAGTCATGAGTCTTGGCACCTTTACCCCCTGGGACATCTTGCAAGCCTTCTTTCCGTTCCTTTTACCCCAGAGGTTTGCTAGTATTTTTGTTTTATTTTGTTTTACTGTTTTGAGGCTAGTTCTTGATGTGTAGCCTAGGCTGGCCTTGAAAGCATCATGTAGGGCCAACGAGCCCCTCTTTCCCAGGTGTTTCTAGATTGTGCCAAGTTGACAACTTCAAACTCACCATCACAACTTGTGTAACTATTTTAAACTTTTAAAGTTTCAAATTTACCCCCCTTTTCCCCCTTTGTTCTAGGAAATTCTGTCCTCTTTACAACCACCTAGTTAACTGTGCTTTTTGTGTGCATGTTTGGGTTTGTTTTGTTTTGTTTTGTTTTGTTATTTTCAGCTTAATTATTTTTATTTTATGTGTATGAGTGTTTTGCACGCATCACATGTGTACAATGCACATGGAGGCCAGAAGAAGGTGTAAAATCCCCTGGAACTGGAGTTAGGATGGTTTGTTAGTTGCCATATGGGTGCTGGGAACCAGACTCAAGTCCTCTGTAAGATCAGCCAGTGCTCTTAACCGCTGAGCCACCTCTCCAGTCCGCTCAGCAGTCAGTTTTAGTTTCAAGACTGCCTTCCTCTCTTATTTTGTGGTTGTTTCTTTTCTGCATGGCATATTGGGTACCATATATTCTCATATCCATATGACAATATATGTTTTTAGAAATTCTCTTCTGAGGTGAGGGCTGGAGAGATGGCTCCGCGGTTAAGAGCACCGGCTGCTCTTGCAGAGGATCTGGGTTCACCACATGGTAGCTCACAACCATCCCTAACTCCAGTTCCAGGGGATCCAATGCCTTCTTCTGGCCTCCACAGGCATCAGGCATGCAGGAAAATCATTCATACACATAAAACAAAAGTAAATAAATAAAAATCTTTTTTTAAAAAAATGGAATTTTCTTCCCTTCCCCACATCATCGCTGTTTCTCTGGCTTCGGGTCCTTCTGCTTGTCCTACTTCTTCCTGGTCTTTCAGGCTGTGAGTTTCCACAGATGTTGTTCCTTCAGACTTCATGGCAAGGCACTGAAAAGCTAACTCATATGGTATTTAAGGAGATGGGCTTGCAGACTCCGCTGGGGGAATCCCAAATGCTTCAAGAGGAAAGCTTTTTGGTTTTTTGAGTCACTTACATTTTTCTTAAGGAGAAATTGACACTCTTTTACCTGGGTCTAGGTGTTCTGTGGTGGAATAAAGATAGTTTTCTATTGTGCCTTTCAAACAGTATCATAGTTTTCATGCCAACATTGCCTTCCCAAGTCCCATGTCCTCTCAAGAAGTCTGCAGGACACTCCAGATCCTTTCCTGCCCAGAGGACAGTATCGTCTGCTCCCATAGCAAGTAGCTGTCCTTTGACTGCTTTTCTTTTATTTTTCAGAAAGGGTTTAATTTTTCATCTAAATTTCTCTCTCTCTCTCTGTCTCTCTCTCTCTCTCTGTCTCTCTCATTGTGGCTTTAATTCTTTTATTATCACTCTGAGAGAGACTCTATTGAAAGAGGAGGAAAAACAACTGTCTTCGATGCTGTTTAATTTTACTACATTTGGTGAATAGCAAGTTCCAGTGACCTTCTTGCAATGGGACAAAATTAATACATTATAAGACTTTTCTCTCTCTCTCTCTCTCTCTCTCTCTCTCTCTCTCTCCCTCTCTCATTGTGGCTTTAATTCTTTTATTATCATTCTGAGAGACACTCTATTGAAAGAGGAGGAAAAACAACTGTCTTTGATGCTGTTTAATTTTACTACATTTGGGGAATAGCAAGTTCCAGTGACCTTCTTGCAATGGGACAAAATTAAAACATTATAAGACTGTATACCATTTAGTAATACAAGATGCTTGTTAAGACATTGTTATCAGGGAGGAGAGCATATAATTAAGAATCAGAATAACAAACCTCTGTGTGTGTGTGTGTGTGTGTGCGCGCACATGTGTGTGTGCACGCGCGCTCATGTGTGTAGGGGTGTATATATGTTTGGGTGGTGCATGTGTGTCTTCATGAGTATGGAGGCCAGAAGCCAAGCTCAGCTGCATTCCTCAGGTACTGTCCATCTTATTTTTTGAGGTGCCTCTCACAGACCTAGAACTAGCTGATTTAGCTAGGATGGATGGCCAGCAATCCACAGGGATCTGCCTGTCTCTGCCTCCCTAGTGTTAGAATTACAAGCACCTGCCACCACATGTTCTAGGGGATTAAATGTAGGTCCTTGTGTTTGTGTGGCAAACATGTTACTGACTGAACCATCTCCCCAGCCCAGAATAACACACTTTTTAAAATTTAAAAAACACTTTTTCCAGGCATGGTCTTAATGTCCAAAATCCAGGAATCTTAGAGGACTCCATGGATCAACTCCACAGCCAAGTTAGATACAGAGCAATGTGTCTGCATTTTGAATATCCATGTAAGTCTTCATAGTGGACCACAGAAAAATTCAGATATCTGTGTGACTAATGCTAATTCAGAGTTTAGAAAACAGTCTTTAAAGCAGTTTTGTGATGCAGAATGCAGCACTTCCCCGCAGTTACAGAAGTAGAGGCATGTTTCCTTAAGTCTTCCTGATACTTTGTTGTCAGCTAACAAAACTTGCCTTCTGTGTCAGGACATTGTATTTGTTACTTTTCTATTGCTATGATAGAAACACTGACCAAAGCAGGAGGAATTCATTTGAGCTTAGGGTTCCAGAGGAGTTACAGTCCATCAAAGCAGGGAAGCATGGTGGCTGGAGGTGGCTGGAGAAGAGGAAGCTAAGCTCTACATCTTCCAGCAGATACAGGAAACAAGAGAGCAACTGGAGATCCAGCAGGCTAAGAACTCTCTAAGCCCGCCCCCAGTGATGAGCATGCTTCCTTCAGGATAGTCACACTTTCTAAGACCTCCCAAAATAGCACCACCAACTGTGGACAAAATGTCCAAATACTTGGAGCCTATGGGGGACATTTTCATTCAAACTGCCACAGACATGTAATACCTCATTTTCAAAAGTTCCTTTGTAGCTGGGCATGGTGGCACACACCTTTAATCCCAGAACTCGGGAGGCAGAGGCAGGTGGATCTCTGTGTGATCAAGGCCAGCCTGGTCTACATAGAGAGTTCCAGGTGAGCTGGGGCTACTGGAGACCCTGACAAAAAAAAAAATTCCTTTGCATGTAACTTTTTATTTTGTGCAATCTATATGAGAGACATAGAGAGTTCCAGGTGAGCTGGGGCTACTGGAGACCCTGACAAAAAAAAATTCCTTTGCATGTAACTTTTTATTTTGTGCAATCTGTATGAGAGATCTAATCCGGTCATATCCACTATGCTGACACATAAAATTAGCTATCACAGTATCCTATCAACATCTGTAAAGACTGCACATTTTGAATTCAGTGGCGCTTTCTTGTTGGTTATTACTGGGTTGGTTATCACTGGTTAGAACAGGGTGGACCCATTCACTATGTACAGGGTTCTCCAAGATCTCTGGTTTTGTCTATAGCACCCCCAAATATTCCCTAAATTTAAAGTCCCATTTATTCCTGTCTCCCCACAAATATACTTATTGTTGTACACTCTCGCTCTACGTGGCCCATCCTTCATGTCAAAAATTATCCAGTCACTGGGAGCCTCTTGTAAATCACTGTCTATTTACACGTTGCTTCTGTTTCTTAGGGAAATCACGGAGGAGCAGGCTTTCTATGATCTCACTTTCAAGCACTTCAAAGAAAGTAAGGTGGAGATCTCCAGTGCCATCACAAAGTCATATCCTTTCCTAGAGATCCTCCGAGACCGAGACTTCATCTCTGAGCAGAAGTATAAAGTAAGAATTCCTTCAAGACCATAAGCCTGCCCTACACTGTGTTATGCCAAACCTTGGGTTCAGCCAACAGGCTGAGGGGCCTCCTGTGAGTGGAGACTGTCACTTGTAAGTTAGGTGGTGACACGAGAAGCAGGCATCACGGGAAACATCCATTTCTGCTAACTTTGACATGGAGACGGCGGCCCAGGGTGGTGGTGGGGAGCAGGAATGTTCCAGGGCTGCAGAGCATCCCAGGTTCACCTTCCCTGTCTATCAAAATCAACTGAAATAAAGTAGACATGTCCAAGCAGGGCTTCTTACAAAGCCTACTTCTTTTAAACATGGAGTGGAGAGTTCTGAAAGCCACAGGGCAGCTGTGTCACATCAGGATAGATCTGGAAGCTGTACTTGTTCCTCTCTCTAAATTGTTTCTTGTTCATTAGACACTTCTGAAGCCCTAGAATGCAATAAAGGCTAGTGATGGGGTCCCCTGTGATAACGCAGTCCAGCCTTCTCTTTAGGAAATTTCTTTGCCTTTTGGCCAGGATGATCTCTTGGTTTCCTAAGCCCTTCAGGGAGGTGAGTCCTTTGGGGAAGAGAGTGTTTCTTGTCTGGTCACCAGAACAGCCTCTCATGGCCTGTCAGGGCCACCCCTAGAATGTCTTGGCCTGGCTCTTAAAGACATATCATTTGACTCTGAACACACCTTTACTCTGCAAAACTCCTCTTTCCTTTGAATTGTATGTCAGCATCCGAGAGCTAGTGTCAGATAAGCAAGACGTTATTATTATGACAGAGGAAGGACATTTAACATGCCTCAACATTTCACAAGAGAACAAATGGCCTTTCTACCAATCTAAAAGTCTCTTATAAGTCCTAAATCGATGGTCATGTAATTCTCCATTCAATATTTCTAAGCTTCTTCGAAAAAAGTGTGAGAACCTGGTTCAAATGAACAGAGTGATATATGACTTCCTCAGTGACCTGGAGAAGGTGTTTAGCCAGTCACTTCTGAGGGTGATGTTCAGCCAAAGGAATCTGAAGGAATATCCTGGCTTAATGAAGATTCTCAGAAGCTTCCCAGTTGGTAACTATAGTTCTCACCTGCTTTGGGGTGGGGGTGGGGTTCAAGATCGTTTCATTCATTCACCCACTCACTCATTCGTTTTTCATTGGCATACATTTTACTGAGGGACTGCGGCATGCCAAACACAGAGGGAATGCAATGGGCAGGAACACACGCATGGCTGTGTGCTCACGGAGCCATAGATAATTGTTCAGGTAGGACCTGATTTTGACAGTGTAAAATGTAACATTTATATCGCTACATTTTGGAAGGATAGGAAAATATGAATGATAACTTTTCTTAGAAAAAAAGGAAATCCTCTCTCTCTCTCTCTGATATATGCAGATATGTTAAATGATAAAACTATATCTTTTGTATCAGAAAATTTATCATTCAGTATAGTCCTATGTCAATTTGTGTCTCCCAAGGAAGATTGGAGAAATCACAAGGGAGACCCAGCATGGACCCAGACACTTGGTGGGTAGGGGATGGGGGCAGCATGTGTCAGCCAGGAGAGTGAAATGGAACATGGGCTTTCAGAACCATGGGGCTGACATGCTGTGAGGACGTGGAGTCAGTAGGTCCTGGGGGGTGGGGGGACAGCATCCACTGGTCCCACTGGTTCTCTGCCCTCCCACCTCCAGAGTACTTTCCCTTCCAGAAGGTGCTTCCTTATCAGAGCTTCTTAGGAAGAATGTTTCTGTA